AGCCCTCCATCCCTTTACCTCTGAGAAGTTTGAGTGACCTCCACCCTCAGAATCAACCTACCCTGGTACCTCAAGTTAATGCAGAACTAGGCACATGATCTCCCACTGAGACCAGACAAGGAAGCCTGTTTATGGAAACAGGATCCATAGGCAGGCAAAAGTCAATGTAAGTCCCTGCCCCAGTTGTTGGGGGACCCACATGAAGACTAAGCTGCCTATCTTCTACATATGTGCAGGGAGCCTAAGTCTAGCCCATGAATGCTCTTTGGTTGATGGTTAAGTCTCTGGGAGCCTCCAAGGGTCCAGGATGGTTAACTCTGTTGGTCTTCTTATGGGAGTCGCTATTCCCTCTGAGTCCCTGAATCTTGACCTCAGCTCTTCTGCCAGACTTCCCCAGCTCCTTCTAATGTTTGGTTGTGGGTCTCTGCATCTGTTTTAGTCAGTTACTAGGTGGAAACTCTCAGAGGACAGTTATGTTAGGCTCCTATTTGCAAGCATAGCAGAGTATCATTAATAGTGTCAGGGATTGGTTTTTGCTCATGGGATAGATCTCAAATTGGGCCGTTCCCTCAGTCTTTGCTCATCTTTGTCCCAGCACTTCTTGTAGGCAGAATAAATTTTGAGTAGAAGGTTTTATGAGTGTGTTAGTGTCTTTATCTCTCCACTGGCAGTCTTGCCTGGCTACATGAAGTGACTACTTCAGGTTCTATATCACCCACTGCTAGGAGTCTTAGGTAGAATAACCCCAACAAAATTAAAGGTTTATGGCATATTCTAGATATTCACCCACTCCCTGGCAACTTCTGTTCACTCTCTTGGTCCTCTCTCACCTTCTCAACACATTCCCCTTCCCATCTCCCCTCCCACCCAGTTCCCTTTGTCCTTTCACCTTCAATGACTATTTCATTTCTCTTTCTGAGTGAAATTTAAGCATCTTCCCTTGGGCCCTCCTTGTTATTTAGCTTCTTTTGGTCTATGGACTATAAAGTAGGTATTCTGTTTTTTATGGCTAATATCTATTGACTGTGGATTATCTCACTTCAGGATGATATTTTCTAGTTCCATTCATTCATCTGAAAATTGTATAATGTTTTAGTTTGTAATAGTTGTGCAGTATTCCATTGTATAATGAACCACATTTTATCTATTCTTCAGGTGAGGGGCTTCTGAGTTGTGTTCACATAGGTTAGACCAGAAAAGAAAATCCTCTCTCCACAAACTAATGAAAACATTAAAGATACAGAGCAAAGAAAGACTATTAAAAGCTACAAGGAAAAAAAACAAGCTCATATAAATGCAGAATTATCAAAATTACATGTTACTTCTCAAAAAACTCTAAAAACCAAAAGGACTGGACAGATTTATTGCAGAGTCTAAGAGGCCACAGATGTCAATCTAGACTACTATACCCAGCAAAACTTTCATTCACAATAAATGGTATAGGATGTTTAATAGACCTACAGAAGCAGAGCGTAATGCTTGTCAGTTGATAAAATATAATGTGAAATGCTACAGTTATCATATTAACTGTATTAAGAAGAATAATTCTTGATTACAGCAGTGATGGCTAATCTTAGTATTCATCTTGATCACATTTGGAATCAATTAAAACTTGAGCAGGTGGTCTCACCCATGAAGGATTTTCTTGACTGGATCATTTGAAGTGATAAGATACACCTTCAATCTTGGCTACACCTGCATTGACCTCCATAAAAGGAAAAAAGAAGCTTTTGCTTTGACCTGCTTGCTCTTACTGACAGACACATTTATTCTACTGCATTTATTCAACATCATTAGAGCCCTATTCTTTAGGATTTAATATTGACTGAGGGCAAACTGAGATATCTCAGCACTGTGGACTCAACAACTACCAGATTCTTCTACTTTTCATAGGAAGATGTCTATTATTGGACTAGCTAGACCACAGCCTCTAAGTCACTTCAATGAATCCACTTCTAATATATTCATTCTATTAGTTCTGTTTCCTTAGAGAACTCTGACTAATAAAGTAGTCTACAACATTAACTGCTTGTTCTTTGAAAATCAGGAAGAGTAGATCTTAACCTTTCTAACTATAAAGATACTTTAAAGAGAATCAGTCATCTGAATTGATAAGTATATTATTGACTTACTTATAGCGACCACTTCACAGTATATATATAATGTATTTATCCAAGCAACAGTGGCATACTTGAAGTAAAAGTAATTGTTCTTTTCACTTTTATATTCATAAAATTCATCAAATACTTAAAAGAAAGTAAACAATAATATTGTTGTTTTTAAAATATGAATATTTGCAATTTCACTATGCAGATCAGCTTTATTTGTAGAAAATTTTATGGATAGATTATGTTCCAAAGGAGACTGACTCATTAGGTTGCTAGAATTGTAAACTAGTTTAATTTTAGTTATATTTTTGTTACTAATTTATAGCTATATTCCTACAGATACATATTTTTTCTGTGAATGAAATTCTTTGACCTCTCTCTCTCTTTCTCTGTGTGTGTGTGTGTGTGTGTGTGTGTGTGAGAGTGTGTGAGTGTGTGAGTGTGTGTGTGTGCATGTATGTGTGTTATGGACTAGGGACTGCCAGGTCCATTTCAGTGGTTATTCTCTGAGGTATCTGAAAGACATAGAACAATCTCCCACGTCTTTCTATTTCACCATTCTTGTACTTATACAAATACACAGTCTACCATCTGACCTCTGAAACTTTACACAAACTTAAACTGTTTTCCTCTTATGGGAAATCTCTACATTTGAATTAAGCCTTTGGCAACTAGTTCTGAAATTAGTATTCCTCTTAATCTGGTTATAAGTTCAATTGTCAACAGAGAAATTATATGTTAAATTATATATTCACCATGATTTTCATATATGCACTTTAATTTTTGACACATACTGGACTTTATTATTTGGAAATTTGCCCTCAAGTTGTTCGTTCATGACATTTTTCTCAAAGGTTATGGTCCTGTAAAATGTATAGTGATTTTGTCCTTAGGGAATCTCTGGAGATGCATAGCCTGCCTTCACAATTACAATTAAGGTCCCAATGAATCTAATTAGAAGGAAATTATCATTGGACTTACAATGATAGAATGGTTTGTCATTGTGTGCTGTATAAAATATCCACAGCCTTTGTTCTCTCTTAAGAAATAGAGTCAAATGTGTGACTACTAGTCAGGTACCGTATCCCTGAATTTGGGCCAAATGACTATGTCCTTTCATAAATAACTAAGGATATATATTTATTTGCAAGGGTCTTTTAAAAATTTTTCTGTGGTTGATAATTATCCTTATTAAGTGTTCACTCTGACTTTTATAATGTATGTAGATCCATACAAAAGTGTAATGCTAAATATTATTATAAAAATCCAGAATATATTTTCCTGCTTACTATTCTTAGCAATTAGTTCCTAGTGTAACTTACTTGAGTAATCGTCCACTGAATAGGCAGTTGATAGTGTCGACTTAGAGTTTTTCTTACCATTGTCTAATATGTGAGGCATTGGAGAATGATGTAGTACTGCAGTTGTTGATTTTAAAGAAACCGGCATAACTCTTAAGCATGCTGCTACTTCATGTGATATAAGGGGCAGGATGCAAAAGAGGAAGAAGAAAACGAGTCAGGTTTAGTGAAGTGAGGACTATAAATGATAATAGAATGTAGGAGGGTGCCTCATTGAACATGATGTAGGACAAGGGGACAGATTTTTTTAATGGACAATATATAAGTATGATGACAGAATAATGAAATATTGGGAGAAATATGATGTAGAAAAAGGAAAATATGAGAATAGTGTTCTTGAGACTGGTAAAGAGATGGGTTGTTTAGATGACTCAGCTTGTAAAGATGCCTGCTATGAGACCTTATGACTTGAGTTTTATTGTCCTCTAGGCCCACATGGTGGATAAAGAGAACTGTCTCCTACAAATTGTCCTCTGACCCATCATGTGTGACATCGCATGTGCATATGTGTATAGTATAGTTTTTTGGTACATGAAATCAAATCGTCTTTCTCTTTCTCTCTCTCTCAAATTTTTCCTCCTGTCAGTTTCATCCGTTCATATAGAACTTCTTGATTCTTCCTACATAAATAGTACAAATGTAACTTATATTTGTAGCAAAACATTCTTTCATATTTTCTCACATAAATCCTTTATAATAAACATGTATACAGTATTATGCTTATTTATGTTATTGAATAGTCTTTTGGAGTAATTGTTATTCTTTTATATCAATATTTTATATTTAATAAATTTTGTATTCTCTCTATTTATTACCATTTCATTTACTATTTTAAAGTTTGTTCCTTCATGTGATTATAAATAAAATAGTGAAGTATGTCCTCATGTACCTTGACTTTAATTTCTATAGTACAGATTTTAAAGGATAGGTTGATGAAATAACATGTTCTTATTTAATATATATTGTCAAATGTGTACAAAACATAAAATTTAAATATCCTTTTCAACTACATGAGTAATTTATTGCTGAATTAATAGGTATAAGACTCACACATATTTTTTTTATTTTCTACTTACACTTGGGTTTCAACATCCTATAATGTTTTTCATATATTTGGATGTACTTTTTACTTGCTTTTTAAATAATAAAGTTAAGTTTTATATAATTAAAATCTTACTTTTTATTTTTGAGATTATAATATAATTTACTGTATGCTTAATTATTTAATTTCTTGCATGCTTTTTTCTTCTATATATTAACATTTTAATTTTACATTAAATCTTTAAACTATCTTTATTCTGCTTTTGCTTATTGTACTAGTTTTATGTCTGATTTCATCAGTTGCTGAGTAGTTGTAAAAACTAATTTTGACATATCACTTATTTCACAATCTGTTCTTTCCTTGAATATGTCTTTAATTTATTTCTCTTTCAGTTGGCCTGTAACAACATTGAATTTGGAGACTCCTCTTTGTGTTATTGATAAGTTCTGGGATAAAATAAGCCATGATCTCTATTTTCTTATTTCCAGAATGAATAAACACTATTTTAAAATTTCATGAAGTTACTGATGTCATTTCCAATACTTTGTTTGAACACTGACATAAAAATATCCAGAAGAATACATGGAACAGAGAAACAATGTGACTGAGTTTGTTCTCTTGGGCCTTACTCAGAGTCCTGAAGGCCAGAAAATATTATTTGTTGTGTTCTTGGTCATCTATGTTGTGACAATGGCAGGAAATCTACTCATTGTTGTGACTGTTGTGGTCAGCCCAAGTTTAGATGCCCCCATGTACTTCTTTCTTGGCTACTTATCATTTATGGATGCTGTTTATTCAACCACAGTTACACCAAATATGATTATAGACTTACTTTATGAGAAAAAAACTATTTCCTTCAAAGCTTGCATGAGCCAGCTTTTCATAGGACACTTGTTTGGTGGAGCTGAGATCTTACTCTTAGTTGTCATGGCCTATGACCGGTATGTAGCCATCTGCAAACCCTTGCATTATCTGACCATCATGAACCAACGTGTATGTGTTTTGCTATTGTTGTTGGCCTGGTTTGGGGGTTTCTTACATGCCGTAGTCCAACTTTTATTTGTATATAACCTTCCTTTCTGTGGTCCTAATATCATTGATCACTTCATCTGTGACATGTACCCCTTATTAAAATTAGCCTGCACAGACACATATGTTATTGGCCTCACAGTTGTTGCCAATGATGGGGCAATCTGTGTGGTCATCTTTATGCTGTTGATCATTTCTTATGGGGTCATTCTTCACTCTTTGAAGAATCTCAGTCAGGAAGGAAGGCGCAAAGCCTTATCCACCTGTGGCTCCCATATCACTGTGGTTGTTCTCTTCTTTGTTCCCTGTATTTTTATGTATGTGAGACCTCCTTCTACTTTACCCATTGATAAGTCATTAACTGTATTTTACACTGTTATCACCCCAATGCTAAATCCCCTCATATATACTCTGAGAAATGCAGAGATGAAAAATGCCATGAGAAAACTTTGGACAAGTAAAGGGAAATGAAGTAGAATAGAAATAGACCATAAAATGATGGGTGCAAAGAAAGAGAGTCAATTTTCTAGGGGCTGTCACCCTAATAGAATGTCTAATTCTATACACAGCATAGAAATCCATAGGAGAGTCAGAAAATTATTTTATTACACTAAATTTCTCCTCAATGTTAGTAACTAAGAGCCATGAAACAATTATTATATGAATTTTTAAAAATGAACAACATACATTTTTAAGATTTTCAGAATGTGTAGAAAATACACATTAAATTTGGACAACAGAACAGTTTTACAAGGACAAAAGATTTATGTGCCATAATTAGTACTATAAATTTATTTTACCTATGGATAATTCATTTGTGTTTCTTACATAAATTTAATTGATTTGAAAGCTGGAAAAGCTTATTTCCAAGAATAAAGAAATAATATATAGCTACTTGGATCATTCTTTACCTCTCAAACTATTAATAGCACATTAATATTTAAAATATAAATTTTAGTTTTATATTTAAGAGATATTTGTATATAATTTTGTTAAAATTCTTAAGATATTAGTTCTAAATGGAAATAATATTGTAGTTTTTAATATTAATGATAAAGAGGCATGTACAAAGGTTCATATAAAATATTTAAATGAACTATGGAGATATATAGAAAAATACCAAATCTTTTTTCACAATTGGAAAATCAAATGAATTCAGCTGGTGATGGCATCTTTGCTATCATATTTTCATAGTTATAAAAACAACTCATCAAAGTTCTGAGCTTAAACTATCTAACACTATTATTTTTCAATGTCTGTCTCCATAGGAGCTCATGGCATATTGGAAAAAAACAGCTTCTAACTTTCATATGTAAAAAATAACAGAACCCAGTTCATGAAGTATAGTAATACAGTGCAGAGTCTAATATTAGATGTTTTAGAAAATACCACAGTCAAAAAAGCTGTTAGGAAAGTATAGTCAAGAGAAAGAAAATAATGGATTATTTCAGATTCTTCCTGGTACCATGCTATAGTCTCCGGCTTTGATTATCAGCTCCTAGGGATGTTGTTCCCACAGAACCGTAGCCTAATCCTCGTATCCAGAGTGATGTACAGCTAAATACTGCCACTGACAACCTCATAGCTCACCACCAGGAAGTCCAGTCCTCTTATCTATGTAATAGGAATAATTCAAAGCAATTGGAATGCAACAAGGAACAAAAGAAGTCACCAATGATCTCAATAATCATGTGTATTGTGTTGTAATAAACCAGATAGCAAACATCAGTTTTCCTTACTAATTAGAACTTAGGATTGAGCCTTCAAGAGTAGGTTATTTTTGAATTGGGTCTTAAATCTAACCAGAAAGTGGTTAGTTAATCAAATAATGTTTGTGAAAAAATTGCATTATGCTGGCTGGTCACTGTTGTAAATCATGGGTTTGCAGCTATGTTGGTGACTACTGTTACCCTCTGATAGCATGCAGAGTACTTTCCAGTGCCATGAGCACTAGTCAGCAGTGGTAAAGCCTCTCGTTAGGCACTAGCTAGACGTTTCTGGGTACAATGAGATATGTAGTGTTGTTTTCAGTAATAGGGCCTTGAATCAGTTTATGGAGAGCAACCAATAGCTTTGGCAACAGCCTGAGTTGTTTGGGGTTTTTCAAGGAACTTCTTTGATTAATGAGTAAACCAGATATAACCAATATCTGGCAGTGGAGGTTTTGCTTAACAAAGAAAGATATCTTGTTAGGACAGTACCTCCCTCCTTTGTACTTAGAGTGACTCTATTTATATATTTTTTCACATCATGCTGACTCTATTTATATTTTTTCATATCATATTTTGACTGTTTTCTAAAAAGAGATACAGAGATTATGCAGTTGGATAGGTCAGGAGGTGGTGGGGTTTCTGGGAAGAGTTTGTGGAGCGAAAAGCCAAGCTCACAATGTATTGTATATATAAATGAAAAGATATAAAGTAGATGCCTATAGTATATCTAATAGCTCCTCATTTTCTGTAGTTATTGAATTGAACAGAAAGTTTTAATTTCCAACTCACTCAGTATGTTCAATTGATTGATTTTGCAAATTGATTATTCTTGCATTGTAATGCATTGGTTCTTCTAAATCCCATGATTATATGTTTTCACATGCAACTAATTGCTAATTAAAAGCATTGAAAAGGCTGTCCAATAAGAAGTTTCCACTACTGACTTCCAAAACGAACAAACAAACAAAAATCAAGAAAGAAAAAAAGAAAGAAAGAAAGAAAGAAAGAAAGAAAGAAAGAAAGCTAGCCAAAACATTTTCCAAATCAAAATATGAGCAAATCACAGAACAAAGAAGCAAGAACAATGAAAAACAGGGCAACATGACCTTTTCAAATGACTGTGATTTCTCAACGTCTAAACTAAAAGATACTGAAATTGGTAAAGATGGCAATATTTTTAAAATCTAGTAAAATGATCAATGACCTGAAAACAGACACAAATAATCAGATGATTTTGTTCATGCTATAGTGAAGAAGGTTAGCAAAGGAGAAAATATCAGCAAAATGGGTGACAAAATCAACGTGAAAGTCCAGCAAGGAAATAAAAAATGAAAAAAGTAAATATTTGACATGAGAAAACTAAATAAGGCAAATGAAAATCACAAAGAAAATATTACCAACAGTCTCCACCAAGCAGAAGAATATCATATATGGTGGGCAAGGTTGAGAGTGCTGTGTTCTAAGATTTAGAAGAAAATTAAATAGGACCACCATATTCAAGAACTATGTGCTATAATCAAAATTCCCAACCACATGACTGAAGGAGCTGAGATAAATGCATAGTAAATATACCAATGGCATAATAAAGAATTTCTTAAATTTATTTTTCTTTTTTAGATAAAATATTTTTAGATATCTTCATACATGAGTGCTGAATTTCCATCATCCCTGTCCAACTCCTCCCATCCCCCCTACCTACCCTCAGATTCATGACCCTTTTCTGTGTGTGTGTGTGTGGTGTGTGTGTGTGTGTGTGTGTGTGTGTGTGTATAAACTCACTGAGTAGATTTGGCATTATTTATTTCTTCGTATGTTCAGAGCTGGCCATTTGGGATTGGGAAATTTACATGGAAGGTCTTCCCTAAACAAAACTGACTATCCCTCTGTCAGCAGCTACTAATCACTTCTTCTTCATCTAGGGGCAGGGGGAAACTTTGTGGAATTTTCCCCATCTATGTTAGCAAGAAAAGTGGTGTTGTCATACAAGTTTTGCTCAAACAAACTACAGAGTTCAGTTTTCATGGGTGAATGTTCCTTCTCATGTCTAGGGAATATATCTAGATTGAGACATCTTGTGCCTAGGACTTATCTTTCTGACTCATTTTCCATGAATTCTTTGAGCCTTCAGTGTAGGGGTTTGCATTGCACATTTCTCAATTGGGGCTGGCATGCTACAGTGACTTTAAAGATTTACACACCTCTCTAGTTTTCTCCACCTGGTATAAAAAGAGGCTTCTTTGCTGAGGAGCAAGAGCTACACTAATCTTTGGGTACACAGGTAATTATTTAGAATGAAATGGTTTACAGCCCCATGAGGAGACCAACAATGCCAACCAACCATAGCTCCCAGGGTCTAAACCACCAGAACATAGGGAGGGACCCATGGCTCCAGCTGTTTATGTAGGGGAGGATGGCCTTGTGGGCATAGGTGGGAGAGGAGATCCTTCGTCCCATGAAGGCTGGATGCCAAGTGTGGGGGAATTAGAGGGTGGGGAGGTGGGAGTGGGGGTGTGGGGGAGGCACATCCTCATGGAAGCAGGAGGAGGGGGGATGGGATAGGGGTTCTTGGGTGTGTGTGTGGGGGAACAGGGTAAGGGGATAACATCTGAAATGTAAATAAAATGTCCAATAAAAAAAAAGAAAAAGAATGTAGTTAGAGATTACAGTAATTTAGGAAACTGGCATTAGTCAGTTCTCCTCTGTCTGTCACCTCACCAGTCTTGGGTCGTTGGGTAGGTTTATTGTACCAGGGATGAATTCCTCCCATTGATCAGGCCTTCATTTGACAGCTGTAAGATGAAAGCCCATTCTCAGTAAGGAGACTTTCAAATGAGTTTCTAGTTCAGTTCCTCCCAGGATGAGGTAATTCAGACACAAAAGAACACACATGATATGTACTCATTGGTAAGTGGATATTAACAGAAAATCTCACAATGCTAATGATTCAACTCATAGACCACATGAGCTTAGGAGGAAAGAAGGCCAGGGTGTGGATGCTCAAGAATGCTGCCTTGAGGGGGGTAACAGGATCATTGTGGGAGGTGGAGGGAGACGGTGACCTGGGAGGGAGCAGTTGGGGGAGAAAATAAGAGGGCATCTTCAAGTATTGGAAGGGATGAGAGAGAGACAGGTATAGAGGGTCAGGAAAACAAATACAGACAGGGGTTGGGGGTGAGGAACTGGGTATAACCACTGGAGGGTCCCAGACACCAGGGAAAAGAGAGGCTCCCAGGACCTAATGGGGATGACTTTAGCCGAAATGAGCAAAAAAGGGAGAGATAGAACCTGTAGAGACCACCTCCAGCAGATCGGCACAGCCAGAGGTTAAGGGATAGGGGCACCCACTCATCTCAAAGTTTTTAATCCAGAAATGTTCCAGTCCAAAGGAAGAAAAGGGACAAAAAAAATGGAGCACAAACTGAAGGAAGGGTCATCCAGAGATTGTCCCACCTGGGGAATCCATCCTGTATGCAGACAACAAACCCTACATTGTTGCTGTAAGAGGTGCCTACTGAGTCTCGTTGTCCTGCATAGCTAACTTATGATAATGTATCTGAATAGGTTTTGCTACCAAATTATTTATATGTTGCTTCACAGAGTTAGTCAGCCTATTTGAGACCCAACGACCAGCAGAAATAGGCAAAAATAGCCCAAATAATGGTCCCAAGATGGGAGGAAGTAGGGTTGACAACCATGGAGAGGCTGAAAACCAATTCTTGTACCAGCACTCATCTTTCTCTTTTTCTCTCTGACTTTTCT